CCGGATTCATCATGAGCGAGGCTGGGAGAAGCAGAGGGGGTTGACGACGAGTCACGGGTCATCGGGTCATTCATATTTGGGGTATCGGTATGCTTGTCGTAATTCATGCTCCTGCTGAGAAACAGTCAGCTTGGACCCTGTCAGGCATTCAAATCACACAATATAACCACAATGTGACCTGAAAGACGTGTTTTCTACCCTTCGATCCTTAAAACCGGATGCTCATGGATGTTTCTTTGGTCCCCGAATTTCTACCCTAAGCAGGTAAGCGAGTTCAATGACGCCTTCGTGAACCTGTGGATGGCGGAGCAAGAGCCTGGCGAGGCAGATCACCCCAGCAACCGGCTCCGCAAAAAGCGGCTCGGCGACCACGAGGAGGCGGACTTGGTTGGTTATTTATTTTGGAACAAATGGCGATTCGTAAGATTGCAGTCATAGCTACAACAATGAGTCATAAATACTATAGATGGTTGAGAGTTTCAGAGGTTGTGATGTGAGAACTGGTGGAGAAAGAGAGCGTGAGGATGGAGAAGCCCATCCAGGATCAATTCTTTGTTCTTCTCGTTGGCCCTTTTCCACTTCCAAAGAGCCAAAGGATTTGCAAATGTTCATTTCATGGCCTCGTACGACAATATCCGTGAACCTTGTGCCATTTCTTTTGAAAGCTTTCTCTAGATGACAAACATTGGCAAACTTCCTTTCATGCTGCATTCAACAAAGGGATCGGTCTTCCTTTTCTTCTGAAATTGAAACGGAGGCATTCCAGTGTTTGTTTATGGATGCCCCCCCTTGAAGCCTCGAACTAGTTTCTCCAGTGGTTCGCTGACTTGCCGAGTCAAAGTGCCCCAGTGCACCCCGAAACTCGGGAGGTGGACATCCTAGATAGTTTGCGCGTCATATTGCGCCATCATGTTTGCGCAGTACACAAGCCACCGTCTAGAAAAGTGAGGACCATGGGCCAAAACAAGACTCCACTTGACACGCATTGGTCAGAGCTATCCCGCCTTTCGCGGCCACGATCTCAAAACCAAGGACAATCTCAAGGACCCGGGGCGCCGCAAAGCGCTGCGCGGCACAGATTGCGCTGCGGAGAGCCGAGATTAAAAGAAGGCCATTCAAACATACAGCAGTCCCTGCTGATAGGCAAAAGCTTTGGCTAGATCCTGAGGCCGTGGGGAGAGGCGCTACTCCTGGTGAACAATGTAGAACTGTATAACTATATGGCAATGGTCGCTGAGGTCTTCTCTGGATGAACTGAGACAAGTGGTATGAGAGGGATGCTCTTCCAGAATTCCTGTACGGGTACTGTGTATTGAAGGTGTAAGCTAACGTGCTTGAGGAGTCTCAAACAGCAAGTTGGACCCGGGCTCTTCTTTGCCAGGCATTTTGAAGTAGCACTCAAAGCTACAGGAAAAAAAAGGTTTCCCAGTGCCCTAAGAGTGCGTTTTGCACTTCTCCTTAACTATTCGGCGATGCTAGAATCACCTTGCAGGGGACATTGTACAAGTTGACTCCTCGTGCCAGCCCAGCTTTTCCAGATTCCATGATAGGTCCAGGCGAGTTGCGCAGGGCAGCGCAGGGGTTGGTAGTCTTTCTTTGCCCCTCGACCAGCGGTACAGTCCAGTTCAATAACCCAAGTTGTGTTGTGGGAGTGTGTTGCATCAAACATATCAAACACGGACAGCGGATGGTATTGGTGATCGCAGACGTCAACATTGTATGGAGATGAGATGAGAGGAGTTGATCCCACATTGAGGCACATGAGCTGGGTGTGCGAACTGAATGACAGGAGCTCAGTGTACAAGCTCTTGCGCTCGATGGGTATCCGTCTGGACAACTCTTCCCGGGTGGCTTGGCTGATTTCGGCCGAGGATGCCATCCACCGGGTCGATGTCCAGGATGCTGTTCGCCCAACTCGTGGACGAAGAGCGTTGGCTGTCCGACCTACTTTTTGGGGAAGTCTTGAAACGGAATAAGGACCACCGCAGAAGATCCCAAGTCGTCACTGAACATCTAACAGGCAAGTAGAGCCTGAGGTCAGTTGGTCGTTTGAAGAGGTCCACCTTCGGTCATGGTAATAGAATGTGATAGAGACATGGATCAGAATGGCCACCACGTTCCACAGGTATATAGCATTGTATGGCATTATAGGTCCTTGAGAAAGTCACTTCTCATGTTCCAGACGTTCGATTAACGAAGATACTTGACTGCCCCCCTTCCAGAGATGACATATATAAATATATGTTTGATATTTGCATGCAACAAAGGTGGCTTTGCTGCCGCCCACCCACCTCCACAAGAAGATTAATCCCTACAAGGGGTCAGAGTTCAAAACATCGGGGAGGCGCACGAAGGATAGGACTGGCAGGCTCAGTCTGGGCTGAAGTCTGAATTTGCAATAAATTCCTAGGTAATGTTCATTTTTCGCATTCATCCTACTTGTGCCATGTCCTTCCCCAATCTTTTCTCCAAGTCAAGTCGCCTTTGCATGACGCAATGCCATGACTCCAGGCGCAAGTGGACCAGATGATTCACAAGTTCAGCGGTCAGGGAAACCCAGCAGTTGACCAAGTCAGGGCAACAGCTACATATAGTCAGCTTTTTCTTGGTTTGGTATCTTCGCCCTCTCTCATACTGGTGATGATGCGGGGGAGAGGGAGGGAGATAGATCAGACTAGATTAGATCTGGATTGGATTAGATAGATATAAATAGACACAAAACTCTGTAGCCAGCCTCCGCCAATACTCGACCCACTAATAAAGCCGCTGACGTTCAGATGTTTGTCCTGAGTGACTGACTGGATACTCTTTGAACCACCATCCAGCCATCTCTCCACCTCATCCGCCCGAGTAAGAAGGGAGGTGTCGTGGAGCGACGCGAGCGATGTCGACGGGGCCGATCAAGGTGAACGCTTGGACTTCCATGGCTGTTTGCGGTTGATGCGTTGGATCGTGGACGTGAACTTCGCACAGATCAACAGCGGTGCGCTGGGATGATTCATCCTTTTTTTGGGGCCGGGCAGGCTTAGCAACAGCACTGAAATGGGGGTGGTTGTGGCTTTTTTTTAGAGATCCAGAAGTGTGAGTGAAGTCTCCTCATGGTGCACTTGTATCAGCGGAAGTGCTTGGACAAGTTAAGAGATTGCCTCAAAGATCCTCAAAGTAGCTTTGTGCATGTGGTGTGGCCAATGAAGAAGCGCAACAGAAGTCTGTCTTGTCCTGTTTGATCAGATAGTGGCTTTACAATCAGATTATGACGTGGAAAGTGGGCCACCCCCCATGCTGTAGTGACTTGAAAGTACCCATTCAATTTGGTGTTGTTCTATTTGCGGGGCACAAGCTCCAACATGCACCTGTGAGCGCTCGCGCGCTGAGGTGGCTCATGACGGCGCAGCGAAGAACTTCGTTTCACGCGGACATTCCGGGCCCTTGTCTTTCCGCATTTCGTGTCGCCTTTTCACATTGCGTTAAACACCGGTCAAAGCCAAGGGCCCGGCTGTTGTACAAAGCGGACGATGAGATTGGAGGCCTGCAACAGCCAAGGAGATTATCCATTAATGTTGCTAGCAAAGTCAAAGACATCCGAACTTTAAAGATCTTTTTCTGTCACTTAAAGTGCATGGACATGCTCTTGAAATGCTTGGATGAGCATTCTGCTGGGAAAATGGATGATGCAATCCATCTCTGAGAACCCCTACTAACAGGTCACCTACCAGGTTAGCCCATTCCTCCAGGCCGCCCACCGAACCAAGCCCGAAGCCCGGCCTGCGGGTCGCTGCGACCGGCCCGCAGAGTAGCCCAAACTTGGCTGCCAAAGGTAGCTGGTGCAGACATGACATGGAGTCGAAAAGCTTTCAGATATGAGATGGAAGCTGGAGCAGGGAGACATAAGAAATGCACACACTTTGAGCTCACTAACATGGAAGTAGAAAACCGCCTGTTTGTAGAGGACACATGTTCCACTTCCATGTTAGTGAGTCAGAGTGTAGGAAATCATACAGACTCCTTAGGTTTTGCGGTGCTGACCATGGAAGAATGGTGCTGGACACGTTGGGTGGATTCTGGTGGACGACGTTTGCCGTCAGACCGATGGTTCCATGGCCGCTTCGTCGGCACCCGGTTCGTCACGGAACGAACCAGGCCGGGCCCCAGGGGTTGCCAGTTTGGGCTCCTGCGTGGCTTGGGATGCAGCCAGATCTGGCACTTCCAGGTGAGTGAGTTGGGGGTGTAGGATCCGATGAAGAGCTTGTTCCGAAGTTGAGGTCAGGGATTGAGCTGCAACCTGGTAGAGAATGAATTCAGCTGGGTTGCCACACATCTATATAGTCAAAACTTGTATGACTTGCTTACACAATTCTACTTGGACAGCAACTCGCAAGGATGATCAACATACACATAATTGCACGCACACATACAATCATATACCTAATGTATATATATATAAATAGACATGTAGAGAGAGACTTTGGAAGCTATAGTTATATAATTCAGACTTCCAACCTGTGATTGACGGTCATGACCTGTCATGATTTGACATGCACCTGATCCGTTCGCCTATGCCAGCTGGCAGTGGGCAGAAAGCTGATGGTATCAACACGATTTAACAAGGCATCACTAAGAAAGGTCCTTCCAGTGACCCAGTGACCTTCATAGAGGACGTACCTGGAAACCGACATCAACGCAAGCTCAACCTAGCTGCATGCCAAATTCATAGCTTGGCATCCGCCGTTCCAAACGCCTCAGCTGTCGTGGAACCGCCACTTTGCCTTCCAGAACGCGCAGCTGACACACTGGTACCAAGAAGCAGGGAAAGGCGTCTTTACCTGGCGTGAGTGTTGAGCACACAAATTTATAGTGCCTTTGTCCTGCAATTCAACGCATGTTTTGTTCAGACTCGTGGCGCCATCCCCAAGCCTACCAGCCCCTACCCAAAACAACTACTGTACCAAGTGTCAAGATCGTGAAAGGGCAGTTGATGGTTTAGGGTGATTTTCCCTGCTATGCACCGCCTATGCCATTCCTTGCTTTCCTTCGGCTGGGTCCTGGCCGGCAGTGAAGAGCTCTGCGGTAGCCGCTGGTGGCGCCGAGCGCATGACGGGCTGCGGCTGCAGGAGCCGTGGAGTGCCCCGTGTCCTTGGGAGGCTGGCGGCTCGGTCTGGGGCAACGTGCGGGTGCCGGCAGAGAGCGTGGAGCGGAAGCCTTCAGCTGCATATGGCAGGATTTGGATGGATTCAGGGGATGGGTAGACTACCCAAAGGTATGAAGTGCTGTTGGAAGCCGCAAATATTACCCTCATGGCTGAGGAGTTGGGGCGGAGATGAGGACATCATCATCACCATCGAACTGGAAAGGCACAAGTCGGGCAGTTAGTTTCCCTTTCAACACGCCGAATTCTTGGATAGTCAAATAGTCCTGGAAAAGTAGTTGGCCAATAATATATGCCACTGGACACTGATTTGGAGGATGCTGCTTTTCTATCATAGGATGGCTTGGTATGACCAAGCCAAAGGCAGAAGTGAATAATGAGTGCCCAGCCATCGCCACTGGGCTTTGTCAATCCATCAACCGTAGATTTGCAATTCCGCAATCCACGCACATGTTCTTAGTGGCTCTAAAGAAGGCTGTTGCTCGATGCATAGGGTCTTTGCCTCTTTGCCAATCAGCTTGCAGGGTATATGAAATGATTCCTCGCCTCTTCTTTCATCCTTTCTTCAAGTCTTCCATTCCCACCGCCTGCGCCCATTGGAGCTTCCATTCTTGGGGCTCGTCCACCGGAGGTCGGGTCATCGCTTCTACGACTTGGACCCTTTGGCTGAGACGACCTTTGCGCAGCTCTTTGCGACGAACGGCGCCCGCTGCGCGGCGCCGCGGCGAGCGGCGCTGGGTGCGGCGGCCTGCAGCCGCTTTGGGGCTGGGGCCGACCTCAGCGGAGTGTCGGATATGATCGGAAACAAGTTCTGTGACTTGGAGCCGTCAGTCAGCTTGGGGAGTCTTGGAAGTCTTTCCTTTTAAGTATTTGTATGTGGTTGCCGTTCCGGTTTTTTATTAGCATTAGAGTGGCTGTTCTGGATGTTCCTTGGATGTCGGATCTACAAGTTTGTAAGAGGTGTAGCTTTTCTTCAGGCCCTTGACAGGAACTTGAGCTTCTACTTCAGCATCCACCAGCGGCGCCCCAGTAAGATAGCACCTACCTGACCGGCAGAAGAAGATAATTTGCCAGTCTGCACTGGAATGAACTATGCCTTCACTGGATCAAACTTAGTTTTGTTTGGGGTTCGTGTGATAAACGTGGTTTTGTGTTTGGGAGTAACTCTCTTCACGGCAAACGGGGCATTGGTGTTTTTGCAAGTGGTTTTCTGGTGTTGAAGATGACAGGTGTTGAAAGCAATCGAGAAGTCAGATGACAAACGTGGGTTTGCTGTACATGCATGGGGGAGGGTCTAAAGCTATCCTTGCTCAAAGATGCAACACCTAGAGCCCCAGTTACCGCGAACAGACCTTGCCCACTTGGAATCACCGATTCCCAGGGGCTTTTCCAAGGTGAACACCCCGAAGCCAAAGATGCTCGTGCTTTGTTCTGTCGCTATCCTCCTCGCTTCTATGCACATGCAGGTCGCCTGGCCTTGGGTTGTGGAGGGATGTAGAGGGTTGGAGATGGTGGGCGCTTTGGTCTTTGGTCGGAAGCTATGACAGGTGTGTCGGCTCCCTGTCTGGAAGGATGCTCAATGAAACTTTCACAACTGTGACGGGCCATGCCATCACTTTTTGCCAACTGAGGAATCTGCAGGCAATATGCACAATTCTGTCCATTTGAGGAGCTGAAGTCTGAAACCAATCCATCACATATTGATTTGGCCGTCGTGAATGTGGATGCTGAGATGTTCTATGCTTTGGAGGACTCGCTGCGCAAATTTCATGGTCAGAGATGAAAGAACTGATTTCCTAAGTCTGATCACCTTCCGCCCCTTGTGAACGTGTGATTGTTTGCTATTTCTGGGGTCGAGCTCTATTGTTGGTGGTAGATGGGATTAGATTATTAGACGGGAGATCTGCAAGGGGACCACTGATAGGACATCACCTGGGCTGTTTTTTTGATACCACACTAGGGCCGAATCCATCCAAATCCTCGAATCCTCGCTGATGGAGAAAAACGATTTTGGCACCTCCATCCGATGGCTTCACTCCATGCCCAACGGTGCGCGAGTACGGAGGGTCCGAAGCCCCCCGGCTCCCGGACCGTCTCTCTCCACTGGGCGGAGCCTAAGTTGTTCAGCGGTGTTTGGAGGGTCCGCCGAGGAGTGCGGCGCCTTCAAAAGCGAGTTTTGGATCTTCAAGGCCTGGAACCTGCGATGGATGTCGATGGAGTTGGATGGTGCAAATCTCAACATCAACCAACCCTGTAAAGTCCTGCAAGGGTGGAAGGTCAGTTGATGTATGTTGATGTGATTGGTTGTTTGGTCGGTGCGTCTAGCCAGCATCCACTGCGGTTGGTGGGTCGCTTGTGCACCGCGGAATTGTCTCGGTTGTGCACCGCGGATTTGTCTCGCTTATGCACCGCAAGCTTCCATTAGATCCCCACCCACCCCCACCCCCCCCCACCCCACCCGGATGTATTATGTGATGATGTAGCCGCAAGCCAATCATTCCATTAGATCCCCCCCACCCCCCGCGCACCCCACCCGGATATAAGTTGTGATGATGTGATCAGGAGATTCGTGGTGCGTAAGTGAGCATGGCTGTGGATGCGGACCTCGGGTGGTTGAGTCATTTTGGCAACCCTTACAGCAGTTTAGAGCTCCGTGGTGCGTAAGTGATCCAATTTTGTGGTGCGTAAGTGAGCGAAAATGCTGTGGTGCGCAAGTGAGACAAATCTGTGGTGCGTAAGTGATCCACCGCCCATCCAGAGCTACAGGGATGCAACGGATCAACAGTCCAAATTGGTAAATTTACGGGGCCCTGTAGGGCTCCCAAGTGACAAAGGTCTGAACAGAAACCCTGTTGGTCAAGCAAGGAAATGCTTCAAAGATCTTCAAAGATTCGTTTCTCGACCAACATGGACCCCATACATCAGTAATTTATGGGAACTTCGTGGAACTTCCAATGGTCAGGCTCCATGTTGATGAGAATTCAGGCTCGCTAGACCGCAACCCACCAAGGGGGATTGCAAGATGAACGTTTCCTGTGGTAGGCTGCATATGGAAAGGTTGACTGTCATATTCGTACTATGTTGAGGGCTGAGGATGCTTAATCATGGTGTAGATACACATATCTATACGTCATTCTACATTCGCAAAGCAACACGTTTTATGTGCAACTCCAACAAATAAATTTTACTTGCCCAGAAGCAAACAAATAATAAGCCAGGACCTATTCATGCAAGAGCGGTGCTGGGTGATTGGCGCCCAAGACGTCCTGAGGTTTTTGTGCATTGGTGCCCTCATTGCCAGCAGCTGATGCCCCTGCTGTATCGACACTGCCATTAATTCAGCACGTGTTCATACTTGTTCTTTTAGATGGCATTCGGATTCAAGGTGATCCAAGCCTTATACTCTGCCAACCACGTCCCAGCCACTAAAAACATGTTCTTCATTTTTCTCAGTTTCAGTGAGGTGAGTGAAGAATGTCCTTTCTCTAGCTAAGAGACTTTGTTTGTGGTGGAAGTGCTCTCTCTGTGGGAGAGAGAAGCTTGGGGTCATTACACGATGCTAAGCTGAAGGGAAAAAGATCGAGACGTGTCTAAGCGAAGCAGTCTGTTGATGGCTGCGGCCGCATGAAGCTTGAGCCTTTCCATGAGCCCAGCTCAACAAGGACAGCCTACCCGCCTACCCTGGTACAACTTTGGTTTGTTGGGCTTTGTGAAAACCCCCCTTAGCGCCCAAAACTGAGGCCTCGCGCTGCGCTTGCGTCAGGCCAAGGTCGCCTTTCTGCGCTTTGGCGCGGTGAACTGCGCCACGGAGCATGCGCTTTGCTCGGAGCAAGGCACCCTGGAGCATGCACGGTCCATCGGCCGGGCGATTCGGATGGTTTTACCCAGGGGATTAAGTGGCTGGGGTGGAACCTTTAAGAAGATCTGAGAAGCCTTCAGGAGCTTCAGGGAGTTCCCGCTGGAATGATTTTGCCAAGAGCTTGACAGCTAGCAGCACAAAGAGATGCACTTGAAGATTTGGATTCTGGATTTGATCCCACTTTTTAGCTGTGGGTCAACCTCCCAAGCAGAGTGACAGCCACTGAATTTGGTCAAGGCAACGAAGCATTTTTTGTGCCCAACTCTGGATTGCCAGGATCCATGATACTGTAATGGTGTCCCACTTTCGCGTGGAAGAAACCCTTGAGAGTGTATCTTGCATCTTCTTTCCAAGAGCGTGCCAGTTCCAGGAGACTCAACTACGTAGGCATAAGTTCCTATCTTTCTGAAATCGGCAACTTTCAGAGCACAGCCCTTCGTCACCTAGCCCTTCGTGATGGGTCCAGAAGGGTCAGGCACAGACATCCCATGTTTGGTATCGCATTCAATGTGAACTGCCTGTCATCGCTTGTCTCATGAACGGCCTGGATGCCCCAGAAGCCATCTCACGGTCGGCCTGTCATGAGGCTGGTTGGGCCACCCACTGCTGGTGGCGAAATACTTGGGCCCTGACCAAGCGGTGCACGGGGCCATTGAACATTGGATTGACGTTGTGAAGGCCGGGACACCTTTGGGCGACCGCGAGGGAGCGAGCCTAATATGTGCTTGATTTTTTTTTAAATAAACTGTCCCTATAGGGCATGAAGAGGGGCATAAGTGGTGCAGACTGATCAATAGCGAGGCACTGAAGGAGTAGGAAACACATCTTCGATGTTGCGAATCCTGCACCAACATAATGTAGCGCACGATGCATGCCGCAAGTAAATTGAAACGCAGTGGGTTCCACATAACCTTGTATGTTCTTACCCAAGTCCAGCAGTCTTCCATGATCCCCCAGGTCTCGGTCCATCAATCGGCTTTGATTTACCCTGATGCTCACGTCGCTGTTCGACGCCAGGACGCTCAACTACGGCAGATGTTGCCGCGCTATGCTCTACCAGGGGAGTTTCCAGTGCTGAAACTTCTGCTGGAGCATTTGCCAACGAACCTGGTGCCTTGGCTGAAGTGCCAATGAAACCATGGAGGTCACCACTCCTGTAAGTCTGATGACGCCTTGTGTGGGGGAAGATAATTATATACTGTAGTATATACTGTATATCATATCCCCTATAATATATACTGTAGCTGTATCTATTTTTGTTTTCCAGTCGCAAGTTAGCTAGTCGGCGTGCTGAGTGATGTACACCACCCATGGGTCAGGTTCCTACGGTGGCATGGGCAGACCTTTTTGAAGCTCCGCCGGGACCCTCTGGGGCATGTCCCAACGTCACTGCTTTGCACCCGGAGCACCCCACATCCATGGAGGAGGGCCCGAAAGCTGCCAATCGTGGTGTGTGCGGTGAAGATGGGGCCTGCCATGAATGAAGTTTATCCTTCTGGTGTGCTGCAGTCAATTGAAGAGACACATTGTTTATATAATGAAGCAAGCAAAGACTGCCCGCGTGATGAGTTCCAGCTATCGGACCGCCCATCCACAAAGAAGACCTCACGAACCGGCCGGTTGTGCACGAGGAGACTATATACACAAGTCACGTGTACGTCAGCTGATGAGAAAACATCAAACCAATTTGAAGACCACGCGTTCTCATTGTTCACTGGGCCAGCTCCATCGTTCTGTAGACTTTTGCCCCACCGTTTCTCACAATCAGGACTTTGTTGGCAATGGCTGGCATGACGTGGAGCGGAACTTCACTGTGAGGCGCCGGATGACGGATGCGCTCATCATGTTGAGGCACATCTTTCAGGAGTGGATTGCGCCGGTGGGAGATGATGGACTCCCGCGGATTTGGACATACGAGTTTCCTGCAAGCATGGAAGTGGAAGGCTCCCAGGCTCCCCCGCTCTTGGAAGGCAGTCTTCCAGGAGCTCTTGGTGGGCACAGGGTCTACTTAGTCTACTTCCATGATTGCAGGGAGGTTGCATGTTTTTGTTGTGTTTTTGTTATAGTAGGCTGCAGGCTCCTCTGGAAGATCCACCGGGATGCATGGGGAAAACCGAGACCGTCGGTGTCCAGGTGCCGGATCAGCCAAGGAAATGTCGAGGCCTTCTCTTATCGCCAGCTCATTGACATTGAGGCATGGGTAGCTTTGCTGATCAGGAGAGGGCTTGGTCGAATAAGGATTATACAAATAATCTCCCCGAGCCGCCGTCCAAAAAGGGAGACCAGTGATCAAACGCCACTGGAATCTCAGGATCAACCCGCTGAAGGTGTTTGCACGTGTCAGTGCTGTGTATAATGTATTGATTGATTTTGATTGTATTGATATGTATTGTATGTTTTGTGTATTCCAGTGACTGGTTCAAGTTCATGCTGCTTATCAATTGTGGCCCAGAGGAACCTTCCAGAAGCCTTCGCCATCCAATCGTTTCTGCGGGAACTGCATCGGGCACTCATGATTCGAGTTCGAGCTGCACAGACAAAGGAGGGTAGCTCTCTTTGCGCCAACGAGTGGAAGTCATTGACCTCCAATCTTTTGGCCGCTCTGACGATTTACAATTCTTCCGCCAAGGGGGGTTATATGTATAACTATATCGCTACTAGGAGCAAGGACGCTACTAGGGGCTCCTGGCCTTACTACTAGGAGCAAGGACGCTCCAATATATATATATATATATTTATAAACAGGCAAGAGATCTTCGGTGATCTTTCTGGTGATGTTTGGCACTTTGGTGTCCTCGAATAGCTGACGTTAGTCTCAAAATCGTCAGGTCCCAAGAACAAGTGCACGATGAACACCGAGGCTCACAAGAATCTATACAATCAGACTAAGTCACCCAGCTGGATGGAGCTCTCCCATGCTGTTCGACTGACCCCTCCAACTCCAGCAGCCTAGGCCTCCATTAACGATGTGGGTCAGAAACACTTTGCGTTTCCCAGTGCCTGTGCCTCCGATACCTGCCGGATGTGGAGCCTTCTTCACATCCTGGCCTCTGAGGGGCTAAGGAAGAGGGTTTGACACGGACTCGTGATACGTGGTGACACGGACCACAGATCTGAGGAGTTGCGCTGTGTTTAGTTGCTAGCACTGGTATACCAGGTAGGTTTTTTGCTTGGTGATCTTGGAAGTTGTTCGAGCGCGCTGTTTTTTTGATTGTAATAGTCATTTGTATAATTTGTATATTTGAGTAGTTTTTTTCAGAACTTCTGATGCCATTGAGACCCCAGACTTAATGTTGGATGGGATGACTGCTAGCGGCCAGCCCATCAGCTTTTTGAGCATGAGAAGTCCGACCCTGAGGAAGGAGAGGATGGGTTTAGAGTCGCGCCCTGCACAGCCGCACGCGAGACTTGGAGAAGGGATCCAGTCTGAGGGCAAGCCGAGTGGAATTGTAGGGTAGGTGGCTAAGTCGTAGTTGATCTATAATCTATTACGGAACCCAACACATCTGGGGATACTGGCAACGGTCTTGAGAGAGCGAGAGTCACGACCATGGGAGTGACAGTGAGTTCCTTTCACTGGTTTATCAAAGTAGATGGCACAATCGTTGCTGCACAGGTATGCAACATTGAAAGTATGCATTATACACATTCATATGTATACGATTATATACATATACATATGTAAGTATGAATATGTAACTGTATTTGCATATATACAAGTATACATACACGTATTGCTTGTGCGTGTGTGAATAAGCCGTTTTAAAGATGAGGCTTTCTATGAGTCACTTCTTGGGATGTGTGCCGTCTACTTTGCCACTCCACAGTGGCCCAGCCCAGGATGCTCAGTGCCTTGCGTGGTTTCATCGATCACTTCTTCAAGTGTCACTACTGCCGAAGGCATTTCCTGCGGCAGTACGAGGAAGGCTCCTATGGTCGCCAGTTGGCTGAAGAATCCTATGAGGACACCGGGCCAAACTGGACAGGAGATGCAGGTTTGATATGAGGGAACACCCTGCAGAGATTCACTTGCTGCAGATACACCGCAAAACGACTGCAATTATACTGTAAATAGGTTTTTCTTGCCTCGGGTGGTGTTGGAGTTCTTTCTTCAGTAGGCAGGAAGTGCTTGGAGTGGATGGCCTCGCCATGCCATGCCTGTTGGGCTGATCTTGGAAATGCAGGCGGCCCACATTACCTCAAACATCTTCCAACTACCAGACTCAGACCCAGAGATGGGTTGGAAGGGTGAGTCTTGGGCCACTAGGCCAGTGATTTATATACCTGAAAGGGTTTGTCTCAAGGCTTGAACTTGGCATCCGGTTCCGGGTCAGGACGCAAGAGGATCTCCACAAGCAGGTTTCATTGCTTTTACCTCCGGTTGCTAGGGACCTTAGCCTGCTTTTGTTCATTCTTTTTAGCAGAGATGCAGAAGAATGCAGCTGGGTCTCGAGGCTTTGGTCCCCTGTGGTGTTTACCAAGTGGAATTCTACAGACCGAGGTTGAGGTGGATCGTTTAACTCGTAGAGTTGAACTCACGTTTTAATCTCGAACATCTAGCGGTTTCCAAATTGCCGGAAGATTTGAGAAAATCAGGAGCTGGTTCTCTACTTGTGGCGTTTCCACACCGCAGTCTCTACACGCGTCTCTGCCCTGCACAGCTGTGTGGACTCTGACCGCCGCTGGCCGCCCAGCTCCTTGTGCCCTTCGTGCTGGCAGCCCAGCGATCAGTCCGCTCTGTGGGAAGTTCTCAGCGAAGCCAAAGCGAAGACAAAGGACGGTGAATCTTTGCCGATGTCAATTGGGGCCAGTGAGCAGGTAAAGAAGGAAGTAGGGCCCTCTACTTCTGTGGGTCCAGTCAACAGTCAACGGTTGCTTCAGGGTGACCATTTCTTAGGAGTTGCATGTTGGTTGTGGCAAGTGTGCTCTGTGGCGCGTCATTGGTCCATGACCTCAAAAAGAGACCAAGGACCAAGGACCTCCAAGACTCCCAAAGTTTCACGCGTTCGGGGCCCATAGTGTAGTCCCTCAATCCCTCCGAAAAGGTCTACAGTTTCCAACCAACGTGGCACTTGGAATGCTGGCAATCTATATGCTTGGCAGGAGGGCCAACCAACCCTGCGAGCTTTGGAGATGTCAGCGATGCCGAATGAAGCAGAGATCTTGAAGTTTCTGGAGAGCAGTTTCTCTGAACAAATGGAGCTGCAGACCTGACATGCAGGAGCCAAGCAGGTCCTTGAACTATTTGTGCGAATGTTTATTTAAGGGGCAGTGATGGTCTTCCAAGATATCTTTAAACATTACTTTCTGATAGCATTTAAGCTAGAGACCCTTTGGTTTACATAGTTTACTGTTGGGTTCTTCCTTATAGAAGGACAAATAGCTTGCCACGGTCTATATCCACGCGGCGAACCGTTTGTTGCCCTCCGGTAGTCCTCCTAGTGGCCTTTTGGTGTCCTCCTGTCGCAGCTTGTTGTGTTCTCTTCTTGTCCTGCTGTTTCTGCACCTGCCCATGCTGTGGCAGCGGCTTGCTTGTCGCCTGTGGTTGGTCATCCGAGCGCTCCAAGTCCCCGCGTACATGGCTGAGATGGCTGGTGAGGCGCCAGCGCTTGCGGCTGCGGATGGGAGCAGTGGCCCTTGGCCAGCAATTTGCAGGTCCCCGGATGGAGGCCACCAGCTGCCCCACCCGACCTTGTTGCATGTGAGCCACCTGCGCTAGCTGATTTTTTGGCTCAGCTGATTGATGAGGAGGCATTGAACATGCCATGATTTTGCGAAGACTCCGAAGAAGGAGTGGGCCTGCCATGATTTGGCCATGATAACTCTCATGCAGGTCCCCCGCAATCCGAAAACGAAAGCACAATTTACCTCCTCTTGCCCTCTCGTTCGCTCTCGTTCCCCAAAACCGTTCACTCTTGGGGCTTCGAACGAGGCAGTCCATGACCACTCTGTCCAGATGGTGTGTCCAAAACCATTGTCCTCCCAAGGTGTTCGGGTGTGTGCGCGTTGTGTGCGTGCTGCCTGGTGACATGTGACATGAGCCCTAGAGTCTGGTCCATCCGCGAAGAAAAAGACATCTCTGCTTACGAAGCTGCTGGGAGTCATTTGGAGTCTATTCTGGTGTAGGATGGTTCATTTGCATAGTGTGGTTGGACATGAAAACTTGCCAGTCCAAGCCTTCATTTTGGAGGAGCCACGACGCACGAGAGTTCGGCGGTGAAAGATCCACGTTGAAGCTCCAGTGCGCCATGCCGCGGCGCTCGGCGCTTGGGACGGCCCTTGTCGGAGGCCCGACGTGGAAACGGATTGGACATGATGTGACAAGCAGCGCTTCAGGGACGGAGACACCCTGCATGGCATTGGCGTGGCTGGTGAGTTGGGGAGACGGAGAGTAGTGACAGAGAACGGCCGGGGGCGAAAAAGCTGCCAGGGATGTGCTGCGAGGGTTGCATGCAACCTTTAAGCCCACAACCGGCGGCACCAAAGATGTAAAGCTTTAGATAAGATTTAGAACACCAGGAGGTTTGGGTCCAAGGGCACGGCGCGGCGTACCACTCGCAACGGGACCAGGGGTGGGTGTACCCCACGAATGACGGCATCGAGCATTTGTAGGGTTTCAAGGCCAAACCACTCTCACCGCCGCCTCGGCGGGCGTCACTGTGGCCGAGGTCAAAAACGACTGCAGCCTGGCTGCGCACGTCGCAGATGACACAACGACGTGCGCATGAGAACAAGAAAAATCTGGGGGGCTTTGCGGGACGGACTGGGTGTATCATGGTGTCTCGAATTAGGTATAGCTTGCCAACTGGGCTGTTTTTGTTGCTCTCCCACCAGGCTTTCTTTGGAGCACTTTTTCGCCCTTCAGAAAGCAAGCTGGAGGAAGAAGTCGATGGACAGTCTGACAGGTCGTTGCTTCATGTTGCTTCAGAACACCCAGCAATCGTTCCGGTGGCCCCCTTCCCAAGTCACCAGTAAATCTGAATCGAACATCACCGCTTGGCTCAAAGGGCCGGTCCGGTTTGAAGGTTGTTGCGTCGCAGCATAAGCGTTTTTTTCGTGAGACCGGTCTACATACATTACATACAGATGGGCGCGGATTCTGATTTCAGACAATAATGATATCCTGCTAAATATGCAGCTGCATTCTTCTTGGCACGTTCATTGCTTCCTGTTGATGTCATTTGAATGATGGTCAAGGCCGGGAAGACGTTTACGTCGAATCAACGTTTGTGAATCAACTTTATTTAGGTGCGCTTCCCACGGGCTCCACAAAGTCTTCAGCTCCGGGTACTTCTGATCCATCCAAATTTCCCAACCCTTTCAGCACTTGGCCAAACATGAGTGTGTATCAGTTGTGCGGTGTTATCCTAGCCCCGCAGGGCTCCACGGCGATTGGCACCTTGGAATGTATTGGGCCTTTGTACACGCACGCCCCTGGTTGAACCAAGATAATACAAGTGGACGATCAGCAGATTCCAATCCCCTGTGCTTGGACATTTCAGCTGCTGATTTTAGTCGAAGCCTATGACTTTGGGCATCCAGCATGAGAGGATGTTCTTTGTTATCGCTTATCATACTGATCCTTTTGCATGATGCCGGCTCACTTCGACGACGCTCACGGGATGCCCTGTTGAAAATACTGATTACTGTATATCTAATGACAGTCTGTAGTCAGAAGATATCCCACTATATCAGAAGTTCCAGGGCAACTTTATGATTGTATGTGTTTGTGCCAGTTCTTTGCCCGCCCTACCTGAGGACAAGTGAAGCCAGTTGTACAACGGCAGTTGCTAAATTTTGCTGCGCAAGGTTCCTTGAGAGTTGAGTAGGTGAGTGACACAGACCGAATAGAACACATTACAACACTTACCATAAATTATGTAAATGAGTCATGATATATAGGTTATTATAGAGTCAGAAAACCTTTGAACAACAAAATCTGATCATTTATTCGCACCATCTTCCATGGCACGACCCTTTTCCACATGGCTCCCGTCGTCGCCCAGGCGCCACAGGCTCGGCTCGAGCCTGGCGGCCGAGGGATGCTTTGCCGGAGCAACCGTCAAAGGTCCTGCTGTGTGTTCAGGCGAGGACCGCGAGGTTTTCTTTTTAGGCCCTTGGTCCTCGTGGCTTTATGCATTATTAAATGCATCTTAATGTCATTTGACCATTTACACCACAAAAAAAGAAAAGCCGTGCTTTCAGTGCTTTCCCTTTAACGATGAACCCTTGTCAGAGTCACGGACCATGTGTGCTTTTGCAGTATTGCATCGAGGCGGGCGTACTTTGTATGGATGCTGGGTTGCAGGGTGTTTGGGGACAAACGTGGAATGATGAAGGGCGGGACATGTGACATGGTGGGGCAACCAGTGAAGTACATCACAAGGAAACTCCAGTTTGTGCTGGCTTTTGCTGAGGGTCCTCCACTTGAAGGGGCCAGCCTAGAAATACAATTCAAACCTTCGACTCCCTCCAGCAATTCAAACCTTACATTGTTCGCACGTTTATGGCAGTTAAATGGATTGCTTGTTTCACTTATTTGGTCAAGGCTTTGTCTTGGTGGAAAGGATTAATTCGCAGATGTTGGCGGCTCCCGTGAATACCGCTGTGCCCTTTGCTGCAGTCGCCGTGGATACATCTGTTTGTGCGCTTGAAGCTGCTCACTAAGGACCTGTCTTGGAAGAATGCTGGCCAGCAGATAGCTACCTACCTCACAGATGCCTTTTTTAAGGACTATAGACTATAGAGAGTTTCAACGACCATGCGGGAAATGTGCTAAAAAACTAGCCAAAGCATTCCTGCTTTGTGTTTGGGGGTTGTGTTTGGGAACGCCGAAGCCCACAATCATTGGACGTATTTGATGGGAGCTCACATTTATGTTTTTTATGGGAGGGGTTGGCACAATGAAACAATCCAAACTCAATGCCGGGGCCTTGTCAGAACACAAAAAGTAGGGTTGCTTAGCAGCGAGCGGGCTATAAGATTGATTTGGCATGAGGTTGCACCTGCCTCCCATTCTTCCCATTTGTGACACATGATGCGCGGGAATGCGCCTGGACCGGACCTCTTCGGTGAGGAGCTGGTGGATGTCGCCTTGGAGAAAGCGGACTCCGAGTGTCACCTGGCGTCTGAGTGTTCGACGCCGGCGGCGTTGTTCGTCGCGGCGGTGATTCGCGGGATGCGTGACTGTGGCTGGAGGAAACTGTGAGAGAGGGAGGGATTGCCTTCCTATCAGATAGGTGTGTTGGTTTCAAACACCTGGCTGATGTTCGGAGAAGACATCTCCAGATCATAGCAGCAGAAGGAAGCTCATGCCGTCTCCTGGAAGACCCAATCATAGCAGCTTCGGTTGGCCAGTGCGTTTGTGCTAAGCGGGGACTACCTTATGCAAAAGGTTGTTTGACATGGACTCGAGGTCACTAATTGATCGGATGGCGTGTTGCTGCAGTTTGCTGAGCATGGCTAAGAGCAACAACAAGCGAACAACTGCCTACTTTCAAACATAAACAAAACTGTCATGAGATTCAATTAGCGCACTCTTGTGGGAGACATGATCCACTTCACCTGCCTCAGGTCCTTCACTTCATCGCTCGCCCATTCTCGGTCTAGGTGTTTACATGGATATCAACTTGAGTGGCTGTGACCTCCAAGCAGATGGTTTGGCCTTGGTCGTTAGCTTCCTGTGCCTCGGAGCTGTACATCATAGGAACAGGTAGTCAAAGCTCGGGCGGGTGAGCAAGTTAGAATTCCGAGACCACTGCCTGAAGAGCATTCCTGACTATGCCTGGTAGTTTGAACATCAGACCTCCAGCTTCCGCTGAGGATTCGTTTGCACAAGGCTGGTGACAATCTTCTCTCAGCTTCAGTTTTTTTCAGGTGAGATGTTTTGCGTTTAGCTACTGTCCAGTCACATGCTTGTAGGCACCCAGGACGAACGAACATGTCACATGTCATCGCTCTGGCCAGGTGACTCCTCCAATTTGTGTTCAATGTTTTCGCTGCTACGATAACGATTGCAA